CCACTGTCCCTGATGCTGTGGTGGTGTCTACACTGCCCTGGCCTCCATTTCCTCGTCGGTGCCCTGGGACCAATGACACCCACTCTGCATACCCCACGAGCCCGGCGGAGTCCAGTCAGTGACGGAGCACGAAGTGGGGGGCTGACAGTTCAGCTGTGTGTCCCCACGGTCCCCACTGGCCCCAGGCCTCTCACAGCCCATCAGATAGGTGTCCTGGGGTCAGCTCGCTTCACTCCTGCCCTGGTCCCACTGCCGGCACGCAGGGTGAACCCTTCTGTGCCTCCATTTCCCCGCCTGAAAATGGGACAACAGTGGCCAGGCCAGGGCTGGGGGGAGGACCTACAGAGGCACTGCACACAGTAAGCGCCTCTTGTTTTCTGGCACTGTCCACACGCATTACAGCAAGGCCTTCCTCACCCTGCAGTCCAGCCATCCATGGCAGGTTGGTTTACCAAGTCCCCTGGGAGCCAGCTCTAGGGCCGTGGGTTGAAGGCTGACCCGCTGGGCGGAGGGACTGCTCAGGGCATAAACATGAGGCCTCTTTGTGGGGGCGATGGCCCACTTGCCTGTGACTCTGATGAGGTCAGGAGGGAGTTTTGCGGTGTGTGCGTTAAACATCGTTAGTGCTGTGAACAGATGCATGTTGTGTCAACCAGTGATAAACAATACAGAGAAAAATAAAACCACGCAGGCGGGGGCTGGGGGTTGGGAAAGCCATGGGAAGGATGGTAGGTGACTTCATCTGGTTTGCGCGAGGAGCCAGCACTCCACCCCCTGCCAGTGCCTTGGGTAGAGCACCCACATCTCTGGGCCTCAGTTTCCCCATCTGCAGTAATGGCTCAGCTCACGGGGGTCCTGGCAGGGAGGAGGAAGAGAGCACGTCCTTGGCTGTTAGGGATTACCCATGATGAGGCAGCCCCTGCAAGTTTGGGGCTCCCCCTCCCCCCCTCCTCTTGGCCTTCTGGAAAGTTCACCCTCAGCCCACACACTCTGGTTGCCCTGGAGACACCGTCGCCGTGGTGACAGAAGGAGGACCAGTGGGTGAGCACAGGAAGGGGCCGGCCCCAGGCGACCCACGGGTTCTGTAGGTATTAGGGGGCAAGGGGCAGGACTGGAGACAGCTGGGTGGACAGGGGGTCTGGGCCCCCACCCCAGGGGCTGACGTTCCATGGGCACTACTGTGGAAGCGGGCAGGAAGAGGGGCTGCAGTGGCTCCAGGGGAGCCCTAGGCAGGGCATTTGGCAGCCTTTGGCCTGTGCAGGGACCTCAGCTCTGAGGTTGAGTTCTCAGCCTGGTTCCCCTCTGATGTTCCAGCCTGTACTAACTACCAGGGAAAAAAAAATTAAACCCCGGCCATTCGGGAATTTTTGTCTCCCCTGAATCGGGATGAGCGGGCAAGTCAAGAGGGATAGAGACAAAGAAAGGAGTTTTTAGACACCCCCTCCCTCCCTGGGCTCCAGGGCTCTTCCTTTCCAGCACCGATGGGGGCTTCTTGTGTGGACACGTGTTTCCATGGAACAGGGGAGAACAAGATGGCTCAGGGCTGAGCTGGGGTCCCCATGGGCTCTTCAGGACCAGCAGCCCCCCCCAAACCCACCAGAGATTTGTCCTGTTGTCACACATCTCCTGAGGATTTCGCCCCCAATGCCCCCCACCCCCTCCAATTGCCCTCACTGCCCACCAACCCCCTTGAGCTGAGGGTTGTTCCCAGCCCCCATTCCTAGTCCAGGAATCAGTGCAGAAGCCCACCAGCTCTGTGGGGGACCAAGGGGAGGAGGTGGGGTGAGGGTGTGAAGGGAGGGGACTGGCTTTGTGATGAGGGAGTGGCTGCACTGGGGGCAGGTGCGACAGCTGAGCCCAAGCCTGTGGGGAGGGGGAGGGGGAGGAGGAGGGGGGCCCTCCCTCCCGCCAGCCCCCCAGATCCCATCAGCATGCTCTCATGCTCTTGCAGCCAGCAGGAACTGCAAACGGCAGTGCTCCGGAGCCTGGGCAGGTACCAGCAGCTGCTGACTATGGCCAGAGCAGTGCCTGTCCCAGGGCAGCACATGCCCTATCCTGCCCTCGGTCTGCAAGTGGACACAGAGCCCGACCACTTGGACCTGCAGCTAAAACCTCCTGCTTTGCAACGTTCGCAAACATTTCCAAACCACCTGAAGTACTCTTGAGGCCTGAAGTCCAAAAATGTGCGTGGCCTCCCAGCAAGGCTCACAGGACCAGAAGAAGCCACTCCTTTGTAGCCCCCGTGGAGCCCTGGGAGGGCTGGGAGCAGCAGGGGGCTGTTTGGGTCAGACACCCAGCTGTTATCCCAACCTATAGCATGACAGCTGGGAGGTGTGTGGTCCTCCCAGGGTGTCTCAGCCCCAGCCCGCCCAAAGCAACTGGCCTGGGTGGGGAAAGGCTCTCACCTGAGTAGATCATTACCTGGTAGGAGAAATGGGGCCAGCATCCTCACCTAGCATCATGTACCATCAGAGGAAACTCTGGAGGACTTCCTAGAGGAGATAGCCTCGTGGTGCTGAACAGCCCCCAGCTCTTTAGCTCAGGCCTGCAGTGTTAACAAAAAGCTGCAAAATGTGTCTGTGTTTTCTGACTTTAATTTTTATTGGAGTATACTTGATTTGGGCTTCCCAGGTGGTGCTAGTGGTAAAGAACCTGCCTGCCAATACAGGAGATGTAAGAGAGGCATGTTCGATCCCTGGGTTGGGAAGATCTACTCGAGGAGGGCATGGCAACCCACTCCAGTATTCTTGCCTAGAGAATTCCATAGATGGAGGAGGCTGGCGGGCTAGAGTCCATAGGTTCGCAGAGTTGGACACAGCTGAAGTGACAGCATGCACACATGCCCATAGTTGATTTACACTGCTGTGTTAGTTTCTGCTATATAGATAGTTCTGTGAATAAAGAGACACATCTGTAACATGAAATGCTCTCTTGGGCGTTTCCGGGACCCAGTGATTAGCCATGAGACTCGCTCAGTAAATCTTGTTGATAACTGACAGGGTGCATTTTTAAACAATTTTATTTATTTATTTATTTATTTATTTTTGGCTGTGCTGGGTCTTCATTGCTGTGTGAGCTTTCCTCTAGGAGCATTGAGTGGGGGCTCCTCTCTGGTTGCCGTGCATGGGCTTCTCATTGCGATGCCATCTCTTGTTTAGAGCTGGGGTTCTGGGGTGCACGGGCTTCAGTAGTTGTCCCATGTGAGCTCAGTAATTGAGGCACACAGGCTTCATTGCTCCACAGCTTGTGGGATCCTCCCAGATCAGGGATCAGACCCGAGTCCCCTGCATTGGCAGATGGACTCTTTACCACTGAGCTACCAGGAAAAGCCCCCAGGTTGCATTTTAGTGTGTTTGAAGTGATATGAAGGGAGGTCCTCCTAAAAGAAGGATGCTCAGGGGTGCAGAGGTGCTAGCACCACAGAGGGCAGAGCCCTGAGTGGAGATTGAGCCTTTCCGCCTACTCGTCTGAGCACAGGATGACACGGGTGTGTCCGCTGGGAGCACCCTGTGGTTGCTGTTCCCTGTCCTGCCCGACAGCCTAATAGGGGCTCCCAGACCTGAGAGGGGCCTCCCATACCCCCCAGTTGGACACATTCTGGGAGGCCTCCTTTCAGAAGTTGGGGAGGAAGTCAAGAAACAGAGCACCCCAGCAAGGACTCAATGTTTCCTGGAAAGCAGGGGTGGGGAGTTGGGGGGTAGGATCTGGCTGGTTCTCTGCAGGTGTATACAAATTGTATGCAAATCATCGAGGACTCTCCTGGTCTGTTGAGGCTCCTGGGCATCCCTGGAGGTGGGGGGCATAAATCCCCAGGGCAAGGAGTCCATAGGCAGGAGCTATATACTCACCAGCCTCCTGGGGGCCCTGTAGGTGGTGTAAATGAATAGAGCAGAAAAATAAAAAGTAGACCTGCAAGTCAGTACCTCTCTTGAAGCCTGGTCTGGAAGGGAGTGGAGCTCAGAGAATTGCCACAACCCCGCCTTCCAGCCACCCATGGGTCTTCCCCAGACTGGCTGGTGAGCCTGCCCCCTGGCGCTGTGTCCACATGGCTGAGTGCTTTTCACGGGGTTGTCACCCAGCTCGGGAAGTGGGCGCCTGCACCATTTGCCTTTGAAGAAACAGCAGCCCCCCGGGGGGTCCCCATGGATGGCATCGGTGCCTCCCTGTCCCCCCAGATGGTAAAGGTGACTGGGCCAGGGAAGGGGGCTCTGTGTGTGTCCGTGGCATAACGGGTTGTCCTCATTCCTGCTTCCTGCTTGGCTCAGGGGTTCCCCCCTGGGGCACTTTGCAGAGACCTGTCCCCTGACAACCAGCGCCACACGTGCTTTACATGGAGGGTGCCTGTGTCAGGTGCTAACCTGAGGGTTTCCATGTTCTAACTCATTACATCCTCACTTCCACAGGTGAGGAAACAGCCTAGAGAGAGCACTGACTTGCCTCAGTTGCACAGTGAGGACAGGGCTTGGTAGGATTTGAACCCAGGCAGCCTGGTTTCAGAGTCTGGGCTCTTAACTCCTGGGCATGTGCAGCACATGACCAGATTCTTAAAACCGGTTTCTGAGCCCATTGCCCTTCTCAGTGTGGGTTTCAGAGCTTGGGTCCTGGACTGCTGCTTCACTGCCAGCTCAAGGCCTGAATTTGGCACTCATGATGTTAAATAACCTTTTAAAAATTTCAATTTTGTAAGTGTCCCTTGGGCATTTTGCTGTCGCAGGAGGAGGGAGGTGGGGCAGGCTACCATGAACAGTTGTACAGGTTGTACACTGCTGAAGCCCATCCCATCTAAGGAGCATCAAGTTTATCAAGACACTTCTGCAGCCTCCTGTAAAGAAATTTAAGAAGGAGCAAGAGACACCCTGTGGGCTAGTGGGCAGGGGCTGGAGTGTTGAGCTGAGCTGGGAAAGGCCTGCCCCTTACAGCAGTGGTGGCCCCAGGCCATGGCTCTTCTGTGGGGCTGAATCCCCACCTCCAACACCCCTCACTCTGCTTTCTGCCCGCAGGAATGGCTGAGCAGGTTCGGCTACCTGCCCCCAGCGGACCCCGAAACGGGACAGCTGCAGACACCAGAGGAGCTGTCCAAGGCCATCGTGGCCATGCAGCGGTTCGGAGGCCTGGAGGCCACCGGCGTCCTAGGTCAGTCCTTGAGGTGCAGTGGGAGATGGGTGCCAACCTGGTTTCTCCCAAGTACCCCTGCAGCCTGCCTTGCTATCCTGGGACAGGGGGAGGATTCTTGCTGCCTGGGGGCCCTCCATCATCCCTGTCCCCTCCCCATCACCATCCCCAGTGTGGGCATGGCAGTGGGTGAGTGTGCCAGATATTCCCAGACCCCATTTCCATACTTAGGGCAGGGATCTCCAACTCCATGCCATGGGCCAGGCAGACCAGGTGTGGGAGTGAGTTCTGGCCACCCAGGCCCCTGTTAAGTCTTGCCTCATCAGGGGTGGGGGGCAGCCCTGTGCTGTCGAAACTCCCTGCTTTCCAAGGGAAACCAGAAATCTGGGGTGTTTATGCTGCAATGCCCCACTCTTTACATTTTGACAACAAATTCCAATTTTGCAAAGATTCTCGGCAGGGCTGGCCGATCAAAACATGTCCGTCCCCAGACACATGTGCCACACACAGACCCATTGGGCTGTGTGTCCTGTGAGAGGCAGGAAGTGTTGCCAACAGTCCCAGTTGGGGTCATGCCCCCTCCGATTGCTCGGGGCCCCTGCTGTACATTAGTAAATGCTTGGGCAGCCCCCACCCTGTCTGTAGACACACCCCTGACAGTGGGGCCTGACGCAGCTGCAGACCCAGGCCTCGTCCCCCCAGACCTGGTGCAGGGAGCCAAGGGGACCAGACTGGGGCTTGGAGCCCGCTCTCAGGGAGCTGCTGGGAATGTCCAGTTGGGGGTGAGTGTGCACAGGACTGAACTCCTGACCTCTGCCTGCCCGCCCGCCCCGCAGATGAGGCCACCCTGGCGCTGATGAAAACCCCTCGATGTTCCCTCCCTGACCTCCCGGCTGCAGCCCCAGCTCGAAGGAGGCGCCAGGCTCCAGCCCTGACCAAGTGGAACAAGAGGAACCTGTCGTGGAGGTGGGCAGGGCTTTCCTGGGGTCTGGGTGTCACGAGGGCAGCCAAAATGAACACCCACAAACCAAGGCTGAAGAGACAGGATTTTGTCTTCTTGCTTCTAGAAGTCTGAAGCCCAAGATCCAGGGGTCGCAGGGTGGTCCCTTGGAGGCTGTGAGGGAGAGTCCAGCCTGGCCTCTATCCAGATGCTGCAGGCAGCTCTGGGTCCATGGCTCCGATCCCTGCTTCTATCTCCACACGGCCTCCTTTCACGTCTGTGTCCCCTTCTGTCCCTTATAAGAACCCTCACTGGATACAGAAAGTGAAAGTGTTAGTCACTCAGTCATGTCCAACTCTTTGCAACCCCACGGACTGTAGCCCACCAGGGCCCTCTGTCCATGGAATTCTCCAGGCAAGAATACTGGAGAGGGTTGCCATGCCCTTCTCCAGGAGTTCTTCCTAATCCAGGGATTGAACCCAGGTCTCCCATATTGCAGGCAGATTCTTTACCGTCTGAGCCACCGGGCCACCCTAATCTGGGATGACCTCATCTCCATCCTTGCCCCAATGACATCTGTAAATCCCATTTCCAAATCAGGTCCCCGGTGCCCCACTCGAGGCAGAATGTTCCCGGGAGTGCACTGCAGCCTGGTCGGGGGTGCTGGGCCTGTCCCCACGGCCTGACCCTGGGCTCTGACCCCGCCCACCCCAGGGTCCGCACGTTCCCACGGGACTCGCCCCTGGGCCGCGACACAGTGCGGGCGCTCATGCACTACGCGCTCAAAGTCTGGAGCGACATCACGCCCCTGAACTTCCACGAGGTGGCCGGCAGCGCCGCCGACATCCAGATCGACTTCTCCACGGCCGACCACAATGACCGCTACCCCTTCGACGGCCCGGGCGGCACAGTGGCCCACGCCTTCTTCCCGGGCGACCACCACACCGCAGGGGACACACACTTCGACGACGACGAGGCTTGGACGTTCCGCTCCTCAGGTGTGTCCGGGGCAGCCCTAGGGACCCTGCGTCACACAACCTGACCCCCGATTGACCCATGATGGTGTAGGGAGTCACACCAGTGCCCTGGTACTAGAAACCGCCATGGCCTCCCCCTGAGCCAGCCCCCCGCCCCGAGGCCAAAGCTGTGGGCACCTGTCCAACTCAGGAGGACAATGCTGGGGTCCTCATCCAGGTTTGATCTCACCAGCCGTCTCTAGCACGGGCAGCCCGACTGGCCAACCCTGGCTGGGATGTGACTCTGTGAGTTCAGCTTGTCCTCATCCTGGTCTCCACTTCCAAGAGAGAGTGGGAACTTGCAAGGTCTCTGCAGGCCTGGGCACATCACCACTTCTGCTAAGTCCCACTGGCCAAAGAAGTTGCAGGCCCCCAGGTTTGAGGCGGGAGGAGGATCAGAGCCGAGGAGCACAGGGCATGACTATAGACAGGGGAGTGGGGACCCTTGAGAGGGTGGTCTCTATATCAGACTGAGGAGCCCATCCCAGCTGGAGGAACCAGCAGGGGTCCCGTAGAACCTGTAGGTTCTGTGCCATGGTGGGACCTGGGGAATCTGTTCAACTCTGCGGGGCTCGGGGAGCTTATAGTGACCCCTGTAACTTGGCTCCTGGTGGCCTACAAAGCCTGAAGTATTTGCCATGTAGCATTTACAGTTTGCCAGCCTTACTGTGAGTGGCACATGTAGGGTGGAGAGACCGAGAGACCCCAGGGCCTGAGATGCCCCTGAAGATCCTATCGGGCCTCCTAAGAACCTGAGTGAATCCACGAACCCTCTGTCCAGGGCTGGGGCCTCCTCCGCATCCATCCTGGCGGGCCCATCACATCCCACCCCATAGGTCCCGTCCTGGTGGCTCAGCAGAAGCTGGCAGCCCCTCCCCCGACTCACCGGCTCCTGTGTCCCCAGATGCCCACGGCATGGACCTGTTCGCGGTGGCTGTCCACGAGTTTGGCCACGCCATCGGGCTGAGCCACGTGGCAGCCACACGCTCCATCATGCAACCGTACTACCAGGGCCCGGTGGGTGACCCGCTGCGCTATGGGCTCCCCTACGAGGACAGGGTGCGCGCTTGGCAGCTGTACGGTGAGTCCTCCCCCCGAGGGCCAGCACGGGTCACCGGGGGATGGGGACAGCATGCTGCGGACCCCCAGGGCCCGGAACCCCACGGAGGAGAACTGGTTGTATTTTGTTCGCTGTGTGCCCGGGACCTGCACACGCTGGCTGCCCCTCAGTATGTGTGGAATGAATAAACAGGTGATTTCTGTCACCAGGGGCTTTTCACAGAGCTTGTCTCAGACCCCCGGGAAAGATCCCATGTTCAGCCCCCAGGAGGTTTCAGGTTGTGACAGCTGACAGTGATGATGACCCAGGGCCCGTGCAAAGCACTTACGTGTACTCAGTCATCCAGTCTTTACAAGCTGTGAAGTCCATACTGCACCCCTACTTAGAGATGGGAGGGCTAAGCCAGGACCAGCCCAGAGCCAGGGGTCACATCAGGAAATGTGGCAGAAGGAAGCCTGTCCTGGGAGCTGATAGGAGCCTGGGGGTGGGGCAGTGATGGACCCTCCCCCATATACCTCCCCATCTGCACACTGGTCTCCCTCACCCCCACCCCGGTCTGTCCTCCACCCACAGCAGCCAAAGCAATTCCCTTAAAGCCTGGGACGGAGCCTCTCACCAGGGTGGAGGGGGAGGTCAGCCTCGCTTTATGCCCCATTGCAGCCCCTCCCCTCCACCCAGTCCCCTCCCCTGCTTCACTGCTGCCTTTGACATCTGTGGACATTTTTTCCTTGAATTTATTTATTTTTTAATTGCAGGATAATTGCTTTACAATACTGGTTTCATTTCTGCCGTACATCAACATGAATTAGCCATAGGTGTACCTGTCCCCTCCCTCTTGAACTTCCCTCCCTAAATGTAGTAAAATTTACCATTTTTACCACTTCAGAGCAAACTATTTAGTGACATTTGGCACATTAACAGTGTCGTTCAAGCATCATTTCTATCCGCTTCTAGAACTTTTTCATCCCCCCACCCCGCCTCCCGCTCCCACCTCCCCCATTAGCAGTCACTGCCCAGCCCCTGGCAAACACTCATCTCCTTTCTGTCTCCATGGATTTGCCTCTCTGGACAGTTCAGATAAATGGAATCCTGCAGTGTGTGGCCTTTTGTGTCTGGCTGCTTTCACTTAGCATGTGTTTTCAAGGGTCATCCCCGTCATAGCATGCATCAGTAATTCCCTCCTTTTTACGGCTGAATAATTTTATTTATCCATTCTTCCGGTGATGGACATTTGGGTTGTTCCCACCTTTTGGCCGTGATGAATCATGTTGCTATGCACATTCATGTGCAGCTTTTTGTTTGAATACTTGTTTTCTGAAACACTTGTTTAAGTCATCAAGGCACCTGTGCCTTCTGCTCATGCATCTCGATGCTCAGGCTTGGGTGGGGGGGTGGGCGTCTCCCCTGTCCTGCTCACCACCACAGTCCAGCTCCTGACTCAGTGCAGGCACAGTGCCTGCCCACCTGGTGGCCTCTATTCCATCCTGGCAGCTCCAGAAAGGGTGGTGGGGTCTACAGGGAGGCGGGGATGCCAGGTTCAATGCAGCCTCCTGGTCTCCACAGGTGTGCGGGAGTCGGTGTCCCCCACGGCCCAGCCAGACACCCCAGAACCTGAGGATCCACCCCTCCTGCCGGAGCCCCCTGACAATCGGTCCAGCACCCCGTAAGCTGTGGGTCCCGTCTCAACTCTGCAGCTAGCACCGCTCCCAGCAGTGGCTTAGAGTCCTGAGCTCCAGGGTCATCTGGGCCTGCTGAGCCCCGAGAAATGGTTTCTTTTCTTATGGACAGAAGTGGAGGTGTTGCAGAAAGGGGGACCCCTTCCAGGGCCCAAAAGTGGGCTTGTGTCTAACACCTGGAAATGAACTGCCCGAGGAGACACACGTGCTGACAAAGCAAGAGACTTTATTGGGAAGGGACGCCCAGGCAAAAAGCAGAAGGGTCAGGGAACCCAGGAGTACTGCTCTACCATGTAGCTCCCAGTCTCGGGTTTTATGGTCATGGGGTTAGTTTCCAGGTTGTCTCTGGCCAATCATTCTGACTCAGAGTCCTTTCTGGTGGTGCACGCATTGCTCAGCTGTGATGGATGCCAGTAAGAAGGATCTTGGGAGGTGTTAGGACACATGGTGTCACCTTCTGACCTTTCCCGAACTCTTCTGGTTGGTGGTGGCTCATTAGTTCTGTGTTCCTTACCAGGATATCCTATCATAAACTAACTCACACAAATGATTACTGTGGTGCCTGGCCAGGGTGGGCGATTTCAGGCAGTGTGCTTCCCCTAACAGAAGGGACAACTAACCACCCAGCCCATAGCTGTGCAGAGGCATTCCTTTCAAACCCACAATTTCCTCTCCCCCTTTGTCACAGTCATCTACGGCTCTGTAACAAACAGCCCTGCCTTGTGACATCAAACCACCACCGTGTCGGTAGGCTCGTGGATTCTGTGGGTCAGGAATTTGGACAGGGCACGAGGGATGGTCAGCTCCACAGTGTTGGGAACATCTACTGGGGACTAGAATCCTCTGGGGGCATCGTGAGTCGGGTCTGGTGCCTGGGCTGGGCTGACTCAGCTGGGCACTCCTCTGTGGCCTATGCTGGAGCCTGGACTCTTAGAGTCGGTGTCCCAAGGGAGCATCTGGAGGGTTGGCAGTGCCAGAGGCCAGGCGACAGCTGCCTGTCTTTTAAGGCCCAACCTCGGATTCGTCTCGCTCTGTAGTAAAAGCAGCAGCCGGAGCCCACCTGTGCTCACCACCCCAATCCCCCCACCCCCGGTGGAACAAGTGCCACAGAATCTGCAGCAGGCCATCCTTGTCCACCCCCCACCTCTGCCCTCCCAGCTTCCCTGCCCCTTTCACCCTCACACAAAACAAACACAAACAGAAATCTATGTATTTAGGCTTCCATGGTTCAGTTTGGTTTTGAGGTTTGGCTTTCCAAGAGTAGAATGTTTTTATGCTTTTCCCACTCAGCTGTTCATGGTGAATTTCCACTGAGGTCAACAGCTGTTGCTTTATCTTGTGTTGTTATTGTTCTTCATTGCACTTACTTATTGAATAAGTAACACTTGTCAGTGTACATGGCTCCAGAGACACAAAAAAAGGACCTGCGGTGGAAAGTTAGTGCTCACCACTGATGGACCAGCCCACTCCCCAGGGCATGTAACTGTTGACTTGCGTGTCCTTCCAGAGAGATTCTACACGAGTATAAGAAAGTTAAGCATGTAGACATACATCTGTGAGCCCAGTAGGACGCTGGTGCGCTGGTCTGCACCACACCTCTGGCCCCAGGGCCCCTGGAGGCCTCTGTGTCTGTGAAGACACCTGGTTCTCTGAGCTTGAGCTGCACGATGGTGCGCATGTGCCTGTTTTATTTTTTATTTTATTTATTTATTTTCTTGGCCACACCACATGGTGTGCGGGATCTTAGTTCCCCAACCGTGGATTGAACCCGGAGCCCCTGCAGTTAGGAAACTCGGATTCCTAACCACTGGGCCGCCAGGGAAGTCCCCTGCACTGCCCTGTTTTTTAAGTTCTGGATCGGTGGGCATTTAAGTTCCTGATCTTTTGTCCTCACAAATGATGTTGCTGTGAATGCTGTCGGTGGGTAGAGCTGCAGACTCAGAATCGGGGGACCCAATAAGTAAGCTCATCGTTTCCGTAGAAAGCGCCCAGCCGGCTTCTCGATGCTTTGCTGGCAGCATTGAAGGCGCCTGCTTGTGCTCCTTGACGCTCGCTCGCTCAGTGATCCATCTTCGCCACCTGAAGGGCCAGAATAAGACTCGTTTTCACCCACTTTTCTCTCTTGACTAAACTGCTGTGGTCAGTGAGCCTGCAGGTGGTGATGCAGGATGAGGGGGTCCTTGGAGGAGGCTCATCCTGGTGGCCTTGCGCCACCCTGCTCCCCAGGGCAGCTCAGCTCAGAGTGGGGCTGCCTCCCTGCCCTGCCCTCTCTCTCTGCCCCCAGGCCCAGGAAGGACGTGCCCCACAGATGCAGCGCCCACTTCGACGCGGTGGCCCAGATCCGCGGCGAGGCCTTCTTCTTCAAAGGTAACCCCCGCGGGGTCCAGAGGCCGGCAGACAAAAGCGGGTCCCACCCTGGGCCCCAGACCGGCCACCTGCAGCCCCACCCCCTGTGTCCCCCAGGCAAGTACTTCTGGCGGCTGACCCGGGACCGCCACCTGGTATCGCTGCAGCCGGCACAGGTGCACCGTTTCTGGCGGGGCCTGCCGCTGCACCTGGACAGCGTGGACGCCGTGTACGAGCGCACCAGTGACCACAAGATCGTCTTCTTCAAAGGTGGGCGGGCCCCTACCCGGGTGCCTGCCAGGCATCGCTGACCAGGGGACCGCAGCCCTCACTCCCCAGGACCCCCAAGCTTGTCTCCACCCAGGAACACTGGTCCTGTGCTTTGCTCTCTGGATCTAGAGCTCCAGGCAGAGAGCAGCTCATTCATTTGTGCACTAAACCAATTTGTATTTATTGAGCACCTGCTGTGTGCCCTGCACTGACGTAGGCACTGCAGGCACGCGGTGGGCAAAACACGGATATATCCCTGCCCTTGTTCTGGGGAGGGGGGGACACAGTAAGCTCCCACAAGTAATGAGGAAGTTAATTTCAGATAGACCTGAGGGAACAGCATTCCAGGTAGAGGGAACTGCCAGTGCAAAAGCCCTGAGGCAGGAACAGTCTTGCTGATTGAAAGACCTTAGAAGAGAGTGGTGAGGCTGGAGCAGAGTAAAGGATGAAGATTCAGGGGAGGCGATGCAGGTCAGGTTGACAGCCTGAGTGTCAGGCTGGATTCATTCTAAGTACAGAGAGGAAACTGAGGCCTCCCTGGCCCAGGCCCAGCTCCCCAGTCTCAGTCCAGGGTGACAGGTCCCCTGGAGGAGGGGCGTCACTTCACCCTCTAACACCCCCTCTCCTGGGCTGGGCTGGGAAGGCACAGCTTCTGTTTCTGGGGAGCATGCTGTCTTTGGGGGGAGAAGGCAGGGTGTCCGCCTGCAGCAGGAGACCAAGCTCTGCCGATTCTGTGGGCACTTTGGGGCTCTGAGCCTTCCTCCATCTCATATGCATGGCTGTGAGCACATACAGAAGTGTGTTGGGGAATCTGTAGCTCCCCAGAGTGAAGCTATCCTGCTGCTGTGATCAAGCCTCTTCAGCCTGGCCTCCCTTGAATGGGGCCCGAGTTCACCTGCTTCACACCCACCCTGGCGCCACCACCACCCCCAACAGTAGAATCACTCTCCCAACCTGAATGCCTAAGGCGAGCTACAGTCATGGTGGTGGGACCTGCCTGGCATCTTCTAAATAATTTGGATTATTTCTCAGCGTTTATAACTCAGGAGATCCCCATGAGAAACCATAGCTCTGTCCTGAAATGTAAGACAGTGTGGGCACTTGGGGCCTGTGCATTTGCCTAGGAGAGTCAGCTGCAGCAGGTCAGGCTGCCCTGTCCATGTCACCCACGCCAGGCGCCCACTTGGAGGAAAACCTCACAGCCCTTTTCGTTGTTTATATAGGGCCCTTTCTGCAGCTGTGCCATCCTTTCCTTCAGTGGTTTTCAGTCTCTGTCAGAGGATTTTTTAGAAATTATTATGGTTTTAAAAAAAACACATAATGTAAAATTTACTATCTTAACCACTTTTAAATGTACAGTTCAAGAGCATTAAATATATTTACCCTGTATCCAACCATCACCACCATCCATCTCTATAGCTTCTTCATCTTGCAAAGCTAGCTGAAACTCTGTCCCCTGTAAACACTACCTCCCCATCCCCCTCTCCCAGCCCCTGGCACCCACCACCTCACTTTCTGTCTCCATGGATTTGATCATTCTAGGGACCTCACACGGTGGAACCATACAGGATTTGTCCTTCTGTGATCGGCTCATTTCACTGAGTATAAGGTCCTCCAAGGTTCATCCATGTTGTAGCATGTGTCAGAAACACCCTTCTTTTTTTTTAAGGCTGAGTAAAATCACATTGTCCTGGAGGAGGAAATGGCAACTCACTCCAGTATTCTTGCCTGGGAAATCCCATGGACAGAGGAGCCTGGTGGGCTCCAGTCCATGGGGTTGCAGAGTCAGACAGGACTGAGAATGTACACAACACAATGAATGTTCCATTTTATGGATGGACCACATTTTGTTCATCATCTGTTGATGGACACTTGGGTTGCTCTCACCTCTTAGCTATTGTGAATAACCATGAGTGTACAGACAGCTCTTTTGGAGAACCTGCTTTCAGTTCCTTTGTGTATATTCCCAGGGGTGAGGTTACTGGATCCTGTACTAATTCCATGTTTAATTCTTTGAGGAACTGCCAGACTTTTCCACAGCAGCTGCACCATTTTACATTCCCACCAGCAGTGCCCAATTTCCCCACATCCTCAGCTACACTTGTTATTTTCTAGGTGTGGAGAGGGGGAGGTTGATAATGGCCATGCTAGTGAGTGTGAGGCGGTATCTCATCATGTTTTGACATGCATGTCCCTGGTGATTAGTGATGTCAGAAACACATCTTCTCCTGTGCTTACTGACCATCTGATTATCTTCTTTAGAGAACTGTCTATTCCAGGCCTTTATCCAGCCAAGGATTTTTTTTATGTTTTGCTTTATTTTTCCCAATTGTTTTCTAAATAACTGGGCTAATTTTTGCTAAACCTGAGTGCGGGTAGGGGGACATGACAACACCTGCTCAAACTTATTTCTCACATTCCTACCCTTCTGTGGCAGAATAGCTAGGGATGTTTCTAGAGCTCAAAGCTCAGGATATACCCAATAAGCATCTTAATCACACCATTTTTGGAAAGTTGTACAAACAGATTTGAAGTTCTTGGTGATTTCTCTGCTTCTGTGTAGTCAGACAAGGCTGCACCCAATCAGGTCCAGCTGGGCCTTGACCCAGCGCCCTTCCTGCCCGTGAGCATATTCACCCACCTTACTGCAGAACTGACTGAACAGGCCCCGCAGACCAAAATGGCTTCTCCGGGTGGGGTGGGGGTCTTGCCCCCACCTGTGATGTGGCCGCCTTATCAGACCCCACGTCCTCTGGCTGCTGCAGGTGTGGGACCCAGCCCGGCTCACAGCAGGTGCTCGGTGAATCTCAGGGGCGCGCGCACATCGGGGTGTCAGCCCGCGGGAGAAGCAAGGGCTGGGGCCCCCGCCTGGCGGGCTGGGCGAGCCCCGGCCCACGGCTCTTTCTCTCGCCCCCCCCCCAGGAGACAGATACTGGGTGTTTAAGGACAATAACGTAGAGGAAGGATACCCGCGGCCTGTCTCGGACTTCGGCCTCCCGTCGGGCGGCGTCGATGCCGCCTTCTCCTGGGCCCACAATGACAAGACTTATTTCTTTAAGGACCAGCTGTACTGGCGCTACGATGAGCACACTCGGCGCATGGACCCCGGCCACCCCGCCCAGAGTCCCCCGTGGAGGGGTGTCCCCAGCACGCTCGATGACGCCATGCGCTGGTCCGACGGTGAGCCGGGCAAGGGCGAATCCCTGGCAGCCTCAGCCTCCCCACTTGGGGAGTGGGTTTCCGGGGGCACAGGGGGCGCCTGCCCCGCCTCCTTGGCCACAGACCTCCCCAGGGCCGCCTTGGCCTACTCCTCTGGCGCTTGTTCACCTCTCCCCTCATCCCTTCCTTGCCCCCGTCCCCCTTCCAGCTGTAGCATCCTCACCTCTTGCTGCCACACAGGTGCTCGCAAACGCGCAGGCACACACCCCAAGGCCTTTGCACCTTCGGTGCTTCCTCCTGGAACCCTATGCCCCGCATACCCACGCGGCTCCTCCCCCACCCGCTTCAGTCCTTCTCTCAAACGTCCTTGCAGCGCTCCCTGCCTGCAGTGAGAAGTACACCACCTTCCTACAAGCGCAATTCAGTCGCTCAGTCCTGACCGACTCTTTGCGACCCCCATGGACTGCAGAACGCCAGACCTCCCTGTCCATCGCCAACTCTCGGAGTTTACTCAAACTCATGTCCATTGAGTCGGTGATGCCATCCAACCATCTCATCCTCTGTCGTCTCTTCTCCTCTGGCCTTCAATCTTTTCCCAGGATCAGGGTCTTTTCAAATGAGGTCTTTTCTTCACATGTGGCCAAAGTATTGGGAGTTTCAGCTTCAGCATCAGTCCTACAAGGGCAGCTTGTGTTCTAGTTTCAAAGCAATGTCCTCAGCATCTAGAAGAGTCTGGCACATACTAGGCTCTCAGTAAATATCCAGTAGGGTGGGGAAAAAAAAAAAAAAAAAACAAGCCAGAGTTACTTCATGCTTCTGCCTCCAGGCGGCTCCGCGAGCTTTCCCAGGCCCCTTAAAGCTCTGAATGCCCACAGATGAGCTAGCCGGGGCCTGAGAACAAGACTCTGACTCTCAACTAAGACATTCTGCATCTTCTCTACTGGCCCCGCAGCTCTCCCCTTCCCGGTCCTCCTGCTGTCTAGCCTGAATCCCGCGTGCTGCAGCTGCCGGCGCTCAGGTGCCCGCTCTCTTCTCCCCTAGGTGCCGCCTACTTCTTCCGCGGCAAGGAGTACTGGAAGGTGCTGGACGGCGAGCTGGAGGTGGCACCCGGGTACCCGCAGTCCACCGCCCGGGACTGGCTGGTCTGCAGAGACCTACCCGCCGACCCCGAGAGCACGGATGGAGAGGCCGGGGCCCACGCGCGGCCGGGACAGCGCGACCATAGCCGCTCGGAGGACGCCTACGAGGTCTGCTCCTGCACCTCCCTCGCCGCCCCTGCCCCGCGGGCCGCGGGCCCACTGCTGGCCGCGCTGCTGAGCTTCCTGTGGACAGCGGCCCAGGCCCTGACGCTGTGACATTCGGTGCTGGCCTTCTGGCCAGGGCCCGGAGCTGCGAAGTGCAAGGACTGGTGGCCGCCCCTCCAGCGCCCTAGGCAAGCGTGGAAGCAGAGCGGACCCCGCCTCGCGGGTGGGGACGGGCGCCCCCTGTTCCCGGGCCGAGGCCACCGGGTGCAGCCTCCCTAGCTCTTGCAGAGGCCAGCAGAGGGCGCCGCTCCTCGGGCGGTGGATGCGGAGTAGCGCTCTCCTGGCCTTGACTGCGGGCTGTGAGCTGGGAAGACTTCTTCACGGCCCTGATGGGGGCCAAAGCCGTCTTTTCAGCCTGTGAGTGACGGCATCTCACGGAGATTAACAGAAGATTAACATCTCATGGAGATTGACAGGAATGGGCAGGGGTGGGGGGGTTACATCAGGTTTCGGGGCCCTCAGTTCCGCATGCCCTGGAAAGGGCAGATCGGGGGTCCCACGGGCACCCCCTCCCCATCACCGGACCGCACTGCTGCCCCTGGTGCTTCCGCCCACCCGTGGGGCTTCCTCTCCTGGACCCTGTGGGCCTGCTGGTTGCCTTGATGAGGGCAGCCTCCCTACACACAGGCGCGCCCCCAAGCTGGGGCCGTGGTGGTCTTGTGACGCATTTCAAACAAACACGACCTCTTCCTGCTTCGTAACGGCTCAGACTCGGCTCCCTGATGCGCCCAGGTGGGTGGAGAGTGGGCAGCCTCTGGGCCTGGAAGGACTCTTGCAGCCCTGACCCCAGGCCACCAGCACTCTGCAGTGGCGGGGCCTCCAGGAATGCCTCTGTAGTGGTCACCAACACCTTCCTGCCCAGCACCTCCTTCACTCCTCCAGGACCATCCCAGGTGGTTACACACATTTCACAGATGGACAAGTTGTGGCCCGGTTCAGGGAAACACACCTGCCAGCAGGCTGGGGTCAGGCTGGGTCAGGTCTCAGAACCTGGGGTTCTGGCACGTTGGCCCAGCCCTCCCTGATGGATTTAGTGCCTACTTGCACGTGCAAGTACTTCTCTCAGTATGAGACGTGCAGAATGAGACAGGTTCTTGGGCAAGGCACCTGGGATGCCATATGCCACCCCGTGTACCCCAGGGCATGGCCCAACAGGAAGTGTGGGTAGGTGGCTTGGCTGGCCAGTCCAGGGACTCTGCTCCATCCCGTTGCTCCTCTGCCCCCTGGCTCCATATCCAGGATGGCAGCTGTGAGTCCCACCCAGGGAGGCCGAGAGTGTGGGCTGTACCCTTCGCCCTGCAGGGGACCTTTCCCTGAAGCCCTGGCTGCCTGCCTGCTCTCACTGGCAGGGAGTGACTTTTCCTGGGGGTGCATAGCTGTGGGAACAGGATGTTCTTTGCCCATCCCTGCAGCAGCCGTAGATGCCCCAGGGTAGGGCACTTGGCCTAAGAACCTCTGGTCTAGAAGAATCACTAACATCTCTTGCCTGGGACTGGGGAGAGGCAAACACCTTTGGCAAAAATGGGGTTGGTCAGGAAGAGGATAAGTAGGTGGGGGTGAGCATCAGGCCAAAAGACGACATGAAGAGACCCTGCAGGGACTGCTTTAGAGCAGGGATCTCCAGGCCGGGTGCCCAGTTGGAAGCATCAGCATCACCTGGAACCAGCAGAAACGCAGATTCTCTGGCCTGCCTTTACCTGCTGATCAGAAAGCTGGGGGCAGGGCTGGCCGTGTGTTACCCTCCCCCCATTCTCTAAGTGTGAGGCACAGGCAAGTTTATGAACTGCTGCTTTCCAGCGGGCTCCAGAAAGGCCTCCCAGAGCAGGGGGATGAGCAGAAACCAAGGAAGGAGGGAGGAGGGGGAGTTGGTTGTGCTGAGATGAGAGAGAAGAGCCCAGAGTCCTGCCGGAGTGTGGGGGAAGGGTAGGTGCACACATCTGGGGGTGAGATAGGCATGCTCCAACAGAAGACACTCCATCCTTTGGCCAGAGATTTTCCAGAGAAGAGTGGGAGCCCAGGAGGGCAGGGGCAGTCTTTGTTGGGGGTTTGCAGGCTGCTGTAAGGTGTTGGGATCCACTCCCCATGTCACGGGGAGTTGCCAATCCCAGCTCTAGGGAGAGGCAGAAATGTTCCAATTTTCAGAAGAGAGCACAGGCTCTTGCAGCTACTTGGCTCCTCCCCTACCTGCCGCCCAGGTAGCAGAGGTAGGCTCAGGGCCATCCCAGGACACATGGGCAGGCATGATGCCACAGGCAGGCAGGCAGTCTCCAGGCCTGGCCCTGTGTTCACTGAGCCAAGCCAGGCCACATCCCACATCCATCTGTCAGCCATCTGGTCTCTGGACCCGGAAGGGCTCTTTGCCCATCAGACCAGACCAGATGGACTAAAGATCCCTCGTGGGTGGAACAGGCTGCCTTTGCTCAGCAAGGGCACCTCTCCCCAAATGGTCCCACTCCATTACATTGTCCAGCAGCCTGTCAGGGGAGCCAGTCCTCGGCCATTGTGCAGTTGGGGAAACGGCCCAAATAGGGTCCCCATGTCCCCTGGGCACACAGTCCATGGGTCAGAGCCAGCTGTGGGCCAGGTCTGCAAGAAACCAGATTCTTTCTTGGTGGGTGATGGTTTTACTCTCGTGTTAAAGCCAAAGATCATTTTATAAAACTTTCCCTGTAACTCTGTCTCACATGAAGTTTATAGCAGACACATGAGTTGTGCATCTCTGTTTTCAGTCCTAAGGGACAAATTCATAGGAGAAATAGGAGCAGCAAGAGCTGCTTCCACCAGGAGCTGAAAACCAGGAGCCCAGGCATCAAACAAACCCATGGAAATACTTGGCTTGATCCTATCTTTTTATAAACATCCATATTTTTAAAATTTTGAAATTGTCTCATGTTTACAAAAAAGATGCAGGTAGAGTACCAGACTTTTTCTTTTTCTTTTTTTTTTCAACTTAAATTATTTGGGAGCACACCAACAACCTCAGACGCTTTTCTGTGTATTTCCTGCCAGCCAGGACTTTCAAGTCTCTGTAAAATCAGGAAATAACAGGACACATCTGACCCCGCTCAGTCTCTGCATTCGTTTCCACAACATCCTTTACTGACAGGAGCCAACCCAGCATCGCGCTCAGCTGTCCTGAGGTTTTATTCTCTCTGAGCCTTGGTTTTCCTTTGAACTCCATGACCTTGGCCCCTGTGAAGGTCACAGGTTGGTTGTCCTGTAGACTGCCCCCAATGCCAGCAGCCTCAAGTGAACCCCAGAGTTGGTTCAATTCCAACTCTGCATCTCTGGTGGGAATGTCACAGAATGATATTATAAGTGCTGAGTCGCTTCAGTTGTGTCCAACTCTTGGTGACCCCGTGGACTATAGCCCGCCAGGTTCCTCTGTCCATGGGCTTCTCCAGGCAAGAACACTGGAGTGAGCTGCCATTTCCTTCTCCAGGGGATCTTCCCAACCCAGGGATTGAACCCATGTTTCTTATGTCTCCTGCATTGGCAGGTCAGTTCTTTTACCACCAATGCGACCTGAGAAGCCCCGAATGATACTATGCTCACAGAAAATTTTCAGTTTTAGGTTAGTCACTATTTAAACACCTGGTGCTTTCAAGTAAAATTCTGAATTTTCAGTCAAGTCTTGATTTTGACCCCACACTGTGCTGGCTTTACTTAAAGAAGCTGTGGACCCCCTGGGGGAGTCTGCTGCTATGGTGACAGACCCAAAGAAATCCCTCAGAAGGAAGTCAATGAGGGCATTGACCTTAGGAGAGCTCAGCCGTGGAGCCCCAGGTGCTGGCTGACCTCAGCATGACTGGGTCTTGTGAGCAAACACTCATATTCCCATGTGTGTGAGTGTCAAGTTGACAAAACACGTCTACACAGGTGACCCTTGGAGCCAGAACATCTCCACTCTAGCTCCCACTTTCCAAGTGGGGAAACAGCACTGGTCTCGGCTCGGGCTGTCATAACAAAAGCCACAGTGTGGGTTCAAACAACAGCTACTTATTTCTCACAGTCCTGGAGAATGGACGTCCAAGATCTGGGTGATGTCTAACTTGGTTCCCGGTGAGAGCCTGCTTCCCGGCTTGCATGTGGCGCCTTCTCACTGTGTGTTCACATGGCAGAGAGCGAGTCTGGTCTCTTCTTCTTTTAAAATTTATTTTTATTTATTTTATATTTTGGCTGCACTGGGTCTTCACTGTCACACTCAGGTTTTCTCTGGTTGCAGTGAGCGGGCGCTACTCTTGTTGATGTGGTGCGTGGGGGCTTCTCATTGCGGTGGCATCTTTTGTTGTGGAGAACAGGCTCTAAGGCACAGGCTCAGTAGTTGTGGCACATGGGTTTTGTTGCTCCGCAGCATGAGGGATCTTCCTAGACCAGGGATCAAACCCACATCCCTTGCATTGGGAGATAAGAGTCTTAACCACTGGACCACTAGAAGGAAGTCCCTTCTCATCTTCGTATGGGGAGACTAATTCCATCCTGAGGGCCCCACCCTCATGACCTCATCTCAACTTATCACCTCCCATAATTCTCATTCCGTCACATCAGGGACTAGAGCTTCCACATACGATCTTTGGGGGGACACCAACACTCAATCCGTAACCCACAGGCAGAGGAAGCCACAGCACTGCGGCTGTCCACCAGATGGGACGGAGGCCAGACCCAGATTCCAGCCACACCTCATCCCATAGGAGCAAATTGTGAGGGATGAGGGGGTTCTGGGTGACTCCCTCCAAAGGATAATCATGACGATACAGTTACTGGTACTGTTCTGCACTTCACAAACACATGGGAGGGAATGTGCTTAGGTCCATTTTCCAGATGAGGAAACTGAGGCTCAGAGAAGCACAGTGACTTGCTGAAGCTCAGCCACTTAGTGGGTAGATGGTCTTGCTCTGGGGATCCTGCTCCCAAGGTGTGGCTCTCCTTGTGTGGGGACAGGGTGTGATTATGGGATGGCAGCATGGATGCTCCTTGCTGGAATCCCGTGAGCAACTTTTCCTCCAGGGCTCTGGGGACTAACCAGCACCCAGCTGGAGTCGGCCCAGCTCCCAGGTGTCCCCCGGGCCTGCCACCCTAACCGGACATTGGGCCCCTGCTGATTCTGCAGCCCCAGCCCTCCCTGAGTCAGCAAAGGGCGACAGGACCCCAGGGGGTCCAAAGAAATAAGAGGACCCGAAGCAAATGGACCCCAGCACAGCCGCCCGCTCCCCTGCCTCCCCAAGGAGCTGCAGCAGCCACACCCATCTGCTCTCTCCTGTTTCTGGGTTCTCACCTGGACTTGCAGCCAGGTGGTGGCCAGGGCCGCGTCCTCCTCCCCCGTGAGGCTGGTTGGCTGTCACTGGAGAACCCATGTGGCCTGGGTTTCCTTGCTCTGTGGTGGGTGCCAAGGGCGAGGGTCCCCAGATGGGCAGAAGTCACAGGTCACTTCTTGCATCTCAAGCTGCTGGCTGCAAGGGAAGGGAACAGACCCCTCCTCTCAATGGGTAATGAGAGTGGGACCATAGTCCGAGGAACTATGTGAGGTTGAAGGACTTCTTTTGCCCATCTTAGAAAACCCAACTGGCCACCCTACTCCACATGGGAAAACCAGGGGTCCAAGCACCCCAAACCTGCTCCTCCATGGGGTGGACAGCAGGCCACTCCCACTGCTCAGGATGAGATCCTGCTCTTACCTCCCGCCCAGCTCACCAGCTCTTCTGACCCCCTTGCAAGCCACCATCCCCGGTGCCTCCTGACTGCTCCCTCTTTTCCCCACCTGACAGCCACATGACCCATGAAAAGCTTCATCAGACCAGGTCCCTCTGGTCTCAAAGCCCTCACGAGGGCCCTATGGCTTTGTGGGTGGGGTAAAAACCCAGCCCTTACTATGGCCTAGAACTGCCCCCCCACCCTGCCCCCTCTTCCTCTGTCCTTTGTCTCCCATCCCCTGTTCCCTTCACTCCAGCCACGCTGACCCAGCCCCTCCCAGACCATAGCTCCTGCCCAAGGACAGACTCAGGTCCCCAGGCCTGTCTACAGTGTCACCTTCAAAGCGGTGCCTCTCTGACTACCCTCCTGAAATTGCAAAAAAGCCCTCCTTCCCCACAAACACACCCAGACCCTTTCCCACCTTCATTTTCTCCTTACTACCACCTGACCTATTATTTAGTCAATTTCTAGACTCAGCTTGAATTTTGTTAACTGTCTTGCCTCTCCACTAGAGTATAACGATTTGGCCTGTTTTGTTCAATGCCCTGGTCCGGGGTTACTAAATGTTTGTTGAGCGAATACACGGATGGGGGAAATGCCACAGGTGGATGTGGGCCCCTCACTGGTGTCTGGTCTGGGCCTTCTTTTTCCTGTGGAGTCTTGTCTAGAGTCTGGAAGGGACTCTGGAGTCCCCTCTTCCTCCTGATCCAGGAAGCGGCCTTTGGCAGAGCAGTTGCTCAGGTTGGATGAAAACCAGGACTCTCCTGTACAGACCTGGCCTCTAGTTCTAGGCCAGACCAGGGGTGCAGCGCCTAAACTCCCTGGGACTTAAACAAGCTCCGTGCCCAGGTCTCCCTCAATCAGTCCTTCATCCTGGGGTCCATGGTGTTGGTCTCTTTTTTTTTGGCCTTGCTGCAAGGCTTGTGACAGACATTCTAGTTCCCGGACCAGGGATCAAACCTGCACCCCCCTACCCCTGCAGTGAAAGCTTGGAGTTCCAACCCCTGAAGTGCCAGGGAATTCCCAGTCCATGGTGTTTGAATCTCTCCCCACCCAGTGTTAGTTTCAGAGGGGAGAGATAAGCATCTTACGATCAGCTATTGGGAGACCCAGAGGTGGCGCAGCAGAGACCGTTGAGCTGACTGCAGAGAGCAACACACGGACCTCAGATGAGCCCAGGGTGAAGACAGGACAGGCTCAGCAGACAGAGGCCGCCCGGAGGCCTCAAGATCTCCTGTCCGTTTGTTTAGTGATGATCCATGAGACACGAACAAACAATTCCTGAACAGTACAGCATGTCACGGAGACACAGGGGCACTGAGCCAGAAGTATTGACTGAGCCCACACAGGGCACGGGTGGCCCCTGAGAGGATGGCACCGTGGCCTTTACTCTCAGGCCTATTTCACAATCGGGTCCAGGAGTCAACAGGTTAGGGTTATATAAGACGTGTGCTCTGAGTGGGGCAGGAGTCCAGGGGGAAAAGTGAGTAAATAGAAGGAAAATGGGTAGTGACCAAGTGTGGTGAACCAGGGGTGGGAGTTCCAGAAAGAACAAAGCCTCCAGGGGTCTCTGAGGAGCAGCCAGGGCTGAGAGCTATCTGGGGACTGTCCCGGGGGTCGTGGAATGTGAGCTCCAGGAGCCCACCCTGGTCACAATCATGGCCAGGGGAGGTGGCCGCTGGCCAGGGTTGCATCACCCCAGTGATGCCCCGGGAGCCTCGTGCCACAGCGGCCTGGACCCTGATGCAATCCTCTGCCATTGGGCAGCCTGGCTGCCCTGCCAGCCTGGACTCTGCCCTTCGCGGGGCCCAGCCCCCACTGCAGTCTCCAGCTGCCCCCTTCTTCCAGTCTCCATCTAGAAGCCCTTGGGGTTATGGCCCTGTGGTGCCAAGCAAGTCACTTCTGGTCTCTGAACCTTCCTTTCCGACCTCCCGAGCAGCTCTGGGGTTTGAGGAGTTATGTGGGGGC